TTAAAAGCGATGATTAATCGTGTTTTTCCACAAATAGCCAAGTTCTGCACAAACTTTCAATGCTTAAGTTCCAAGTTTTGATGATGAGTATTTGGCAATACTTAAAACAAAATTTCAAAAAATAGCTTTTTTTTCGACATAATAAGTATAGTATCTTGTCTTTATTAAGATCGATTGTTAATGAATATAAATTGTACGTGTACATAATAACCTAGGTAAAAATTGCAACCTAAACTTAAAAATAGATCTGAAAGATTAGGTTAAACAAAGATTAAACTACATATTATACTACGATTAATATAAGAATAATATGTACTCTACAGTTAAAACTAAAAAATGGTTAGTAGAATCAATTTGTTTAATTTGAAATATATTTTGTGGTTGTTTGACATATATTAATAATTATGTTAAAGTTAAAAATGTAAGTAGTACAGTAATCCTCCCTATAACGCGTTTTCAATCACGGGCATTTCCCATATAACGCGGGGATTTATACAGTTCATAATTAGCTTCGCATACCTTTGCACGTGTGTATATGGAATATACGGGAGTAGCTTTATAACGCGTCTACTTATACCAATCTACCGCTTTATAGAGGGGATTACAGTATTTAGTTATTACTAAAAGTACATTTTTACAATAAATAAATAAAACAACTAAATTACTAAAAAAAATACTTTTACATGATTATTTACAAATAAGTGTAGATACATAAGGTACTGTTTTAGCTATTATGTGAATTAATCTTTACTTACCCCGCGACTGTGGCATATCCGGCCAATGTAGGTTGAGCTGCTGCTGCAGCAGCTGCACCATAAGCCGCTCTAGCGGCTACTGCTGTATATGTGGTAGCAGCGGTTGCGTATGCTGCTTGCTGAGCTTGTGACAAAGGCGTCTTTAGCAGTGGAGCTGTGGCCTGGAATAAATTTTGAACATTGCAATTAAAAATTTGAAATTCATTTGTAATAAAAAAAATATACAATAAACTACGGGTAATAGGGAAGTATAGTAAACAGCCTGAGTTTGTTTTGTACTACAATATTACAGACTCGAAAGCTGATATTTGTGTAAGTGGGGATGGTGTGTTCTGTGGGTGCTGATGGTGATTAAAGAATTAACTACAATTAACATTTAATGACTTTTAACAATTGTAAACATAAAACTAAGGTGGGATAATGCTACCAAATTTTTCAAATTCCAGCCAACATACATGTATCGTTTATTTATGTTATAAAAAATAATTGAAAGCTGTGACTTTGTGTGGAAAATTTTAAGTAATTTCATAAAAGCATGCAAAAAAAAGGAAATTTACAAATTTATGTAAATATATATTTACACACTTAAATATATTAAATATATTATTAAATACATCAAAGCTTAATTACAAAAGTTAAATAGTTTACATTAGTCAAATAGAAAAGTTGAGAGCAATATTTTCAGGATGCAAAAAACAATTCAACGAACACAACAAAATTTTATTAATTACAAGTTTATATATTTAAAAAAAAACAACAATAAACGGTCAATAATTCATTAGAGTTGTTTTTTTTTTTGTTAATTAATTTTTTTGTTTTGAATTTTTGATTTTTTACCAAAACATTTTGTGGTACCGGGATGCGGTTGATCGTATGAGGTGAACTGTTGTGAAGCGTTGTCACAGTGCGGCGCTGTAAGGTTTTTAATTAATTGTAAATTACACATACAATGTTTGTTTTTTGTTGTAATTGTTGTTGTAGATAAGGTAGTAAATTGCATATAATAATATAAATTATACTACATAAAGATTATTTACGAATTTCAACGAAAAAATTAATTATAAAATTAAACATAATAAGCCGGATATATGAAACAATGCGAAAAGTATAAAATTAAATTCAGCAGTTTAAAATATTAAAAGATGTATAATAAAAACATATTGAAATGGACTTAACTATAAGTTATATAAAAAGTAAGTTAAGGTCTTATCACATGCAACAATAAAAAAAATTTATAAAGGCAAGATTTTTACGTTTTACTACAAGTAGTTTTTAGTATGGTAAAAATATTATTAATTTTTTTTAAAGTTATTTTCTTTATGTATTTGATGTAACAATATAGTAAAATACATTTATTTTCACCATTAAATAAAATAATTCAAAGAAAATAAAGAACTCAATTTAATAAATAAAGATAACAACTGCGAATTTGTTACACATAAACAGATTAAATGGTTAAGCAAAAATTTTATAGTATCCTGATCCAACCCTAACAACAGCTTCATGATTCCTTTCCCTATTGTATTACGCGGTATATTACCATATATATGTGATATATTATAAAACTGCCGTAATGTAGTAAAAAAAAAGAAAAATAGCTGAATCATATTTCTTAGTTCCGAAATATTTTATGGTATAGACAAATTTTATACAACATAATGATTTAGATTTAGTAATGTACCCAGTTCATTTGTTCAAACTAAAATTCTTTCACCACATAATCATATACCTGTGCTCTAAATTTGAAACCACTAATAAAATTCATCAAGACAATGGTGGAAGTATTGGTTTGACTTCTTTTGTTCCTAAAGGATATAGTGTAGGAAACATTTTAACTAATTCAGAACGGAAGAATTGGCAAATAACTTATAGCAAATAAACTTTTCAGCAGATGATGGAAGTCACTCGCATATACATACATATATATTTTTTATTGCAGAATGAAGAGAGATTCCAATTTCATGATTGCCGTGAGTTGGCAACGGGTTTTAGTGAATTTTAATAATCTGATCAATATCATTACAACGCCATAAGCCAATATAATTGGTTTTTAATGTATTGAGCTTTAAAGTATATAGCCTAGTGGAAAAAACTACTTGAAATATTAAATTAACCAAAATGTTTTGTTTCATTGTGACTTCTGGAGAAATTCGAATCGTACCCAAAATATAATATAAGTATTAATATTGCTACCATTACTATAGAAATTGTTCAGCAATTTCGGTTCAACAAGTACAAAGTTTCTGTCTCTAAATTATTACTTGATATATCAACGAATTCTTTACACTTTATCAGAGAGAATGAGCTACAGTAAAAATTGTTCTCAGCATGCTCCACAAGACATACTTTTGTTTTAATATCTTTCGTAAGCGAAAAATTCTCCATTTGCATTAAAGAACACCCATCAGTTAGAATTGCAACCTGAAAAATGTACTGTTTAGGGCAGTGGTTCCTAACCTTTTTTGACCAAAAACCACTATGATATATTTTTTTCTAGTAGGGACCACAAAGTTTAAGAATAATAAACAGTATTATTATTTTAATATGCTTTAAGCATCTCTGGTATAATGTATAATGAATTGCATAAGTGCATAGGTACATTATAAAGACTATAAAATAGTTATACAATTACTTGAACATTTTTTATGTTTATTTTCTAACAAGTGAGGTAGGTCTCAACGGACACACTACAAATTATGTATCCATATCTGTTAAGTTTGATTCAGGAACCATTTTAAACCATCTCGCGGACCACGGGCGACTAGCGGACCATCAGTGCGAAACCACTGATTTAGTGGCTTTTATATCAATATAATTCTACAATACTTGAACCATTTTTAACTATCTTGCGGACCACGGGCGACTAGCGGACTATCAGTTCGGAACCACTGATTTAGTGGGTTTTATATCAATATAATTCTACAATACTTGAACCATTTTTACCGATGGACCTGCGGACCATCGGTTAGGAACTAACTTAGTGGCTTTTATATCAATATAATTCGACAATACTTGTTCAAGATTAAGGAAATCGAAATAACATTGTCAATGGCGTTCCGAACACCTACAGAAATTGTGTTGTACCGTGGTCAACTATATTCTCAGATTTATCTCTAGGAAAAGCATTTTTTTTTTTAAATTATTTTTTTTTTTAATTCAATGCGGACAAGTCAAT